AGGAAGCTGTCGGAGGTACATACCTGCAGTTGTACATATATATGGGGTGGTCGGGAGCCCGACTGCCTGAAGTACTGTAGCACAATGACTAGTCCTATATTAGGGACTTATGATATTAAACTGAATGATACAAAAGCAATACTAAAGAAGGTCTCCATGATGAATTTGCATTACAATAGTAGGGTCGTGGGTTCGAACCCTATATATTAATGACTTATGAAAGTAAGGTCTATGATCCAAAAGCAATACTATAGAAAGTCTCTATGAATAATATGCATTACAATAGTAGGGTCGTGGGTTCGAATCCTATATATGAATGACTTATGAATGTAAGGTCTATGATACAAAAGCAATACTATAGAAGGTCTCTATGATTAATATGCATTACAATAGTAGGGTCGTGGGTTCGAATCCTATATATACATGACTTATGAAAGTAAGGTCTATGATACACAAGCAATATTATAGGAGGTCTCCTTGATGCATAAGCATTGTATGGGGTGGTCGGGTGACTGACTGCTCCTAGTACTGTAGCAAAATGACTAGTCCTTATTAGGGACTTGAAAAGGAATATTATGGTGGCGTGTGTGCTGCTTCACGAGCAATTGGTCCGAGGTAAACTTGGACTCGCTAACCGATGTGTCCTAGACATATCATCTTAGTGCCGGTGGTAAGCGGGTTTGTTGTAGCAATACGGCTTTCCTGTGGACATCGCACACCCATACCGTTTGTGGGCGACGTCGTTGCGCATAGCGATGTGTCGTCTATCTTTCGGATTGGGATGATGAGTGTGTTTGGTAGCACTTTTAAGTGTAACAGGCATACTCAACTTCATGTCTTAGTGCATTAGCGCTATGATACGTGGAGTTTTGTTCATTGGCGTCTTAGTAGCGTGCTACTATGATACGTTGGTGACATTTTTTATATAACAACAATGCCAACTTTGTTACCAAAGTCGATAGGGATCATGTGGGTGTGTTGTGAGGGGGCGCCACCCGTACGATAGTTGCATTGATGCTTACTGCTACTTGCGGTATTGCGTCTTGTGATGGATCTGCGGGTGTGCTGCGCCTGATTCGACGCATTCCTGTGGTTCTGGTCGATGGATGTATGCAATTAACATCTTAGTGCCGGTGGTAAGCGGGTTTGTTGTAGCAATACGGCTTTCCCGTGAACATCGCACACCCATACCGTTTGTGGGCGACGTCGTTGCGCATAGCGATGTGTCGTCTATCTTTCGGATTGGGATGATGAGTGTGTTTGGTAGCACTTTTAAGTGTAGCAGGCATACTCAACTTCATGTCTTAGTGCATTAGCGCTATGATACGTGGAGTTTTGTTCATTGGCGTCTTAGTAGCGTGCTACTATGATACGTTGGTGACATTTTTTATATAACAACAATACCAACTTTGTTACCAAAGTCGATAGGGATCATGTGGGTGTGTTGTGAGGGGGCGCCACCCGAATGATAGTTGCATTGATGCTTACTGCTACTTGCGGTATTGCGTCTTGTGATGGATCTGCGGGTGTGCTGCGCCTGATTCGACGCATTCTTGTGGTTCTGGTCGATGGAGGTATGCAATTAACATCTTAGTGCCGGTGGTAAGCGGGTTTGTTGTAGTAATACGGCTTTCTCGTGAACATCGCACACCCATACTGTTTGTGGGCGACGTCGTTGCGCATAGCGATGTGTCGTCTATCTTTCGGATTGGGATGATGAGTGTGTTTGGTAGCACTTTTAAGTGTAACAGGCATACTCAACTTCATGTCTTAGTGCATTAGCGCTATGATACGTGGAGTTTTGTTCATTGGTGTCTTAGTAGCGTGCTACTATGATACGTTGGTGACATCTTTTATATAACAACAATACCAACTTTGTTACCAAAGTCGATAGGGATCATGTGGGTGTGTTGTGAGGGGGCGCCACCCGTATGATAGTTGCATTGATGCTTACTGCTACTTGCGGTATTGCGTCTTGTGATGGATCTGCGGGTGTGCTGCGCCTGATTCGACGCTCTCTTGTGGTTCTGGTCGATGGAGGTATGCGGGTGGTGATGTCTGCTGGGATGTATGGGGGACCTTGGGATGGTGTAAGCCCGACGATAGTCGTATTGATGCTTGTTGCGTTCTGCAGCATTGCGCCTCTGCGATGGTTGTTTGGTGGGACGCTATTCTCAATGGCGCTCTCTGCGTCTTGGTTTGACTCACACCTAAGTAGCTTTGCCCAAGTCGGGTCCCTTCATTGCGGGGCTGCAGACTGTCTGCCCTCCACGATGTTTTATATAACGAGATAATATTTGTTATATCTCTGTAACTTTCCCACCTTTGAATGATTGAAGGCAACTTGTCGGTGGGTGAGACAAACATGATCGAAAATGCATTTACTCAACGTCAGTGACACAAACCCTTTCTGATGGCGAATTATTACTCTTATCTTATAACTGCCTTCTGGCTATATCTGCCGTTGTATTGGTTGGTGGAGCATATGTGTCGACCTCATGCGGGTGGTAGCTGGCGGGAGGATCTGAGGAGACTCTCAAGGCTGCGGCCGAAAGCCGCACAACGTGGGACCCCATTCCCTTGAGGTGAGCGGTAGACTCATGACACGCTCTGCGGCTAGTAGCCGTGCTGATCATGCAATTGGTGGTGATGCCATACACTTACATCACGTCTGCAGGAGCGGCGGTCTGGCAGGTGGTGGCGCTCACGGAGGGTTTACGGCCAGTGTGCCTATTTGCCCAAACCGTGTGCCGTACATTCACTGTGGCTGGATTCGTTCGTATTCTGTATGGCGTTTACACGCATTGACATGCGCGACTTCGGTCGATGTTTGTGCTTACGCACTAACAAGGGGCCAAGCCTCTTATACTGGTTCGCCAGTTATTTTGCTGTGGACTACGGTCCAGTTCCCGAATTAGCGTTCCCTTCGGGGGGAGTGCATCAAAATGGTTGGCACTCACCGTGCACGGCGTGTGTGGGGCCGTGTACCTCCCCTACATTTTTTTAAATAAATGTAGGGGGAGCGAAGCCCTTGTATCGGGTATTTTGTATAAATATATTTTGAGCCTTTTCCGAGCGGGAAGGGATAATTAATAATGTAAACCTGATGCAAGTGGAATAGGGACGTTTTATGTTCTTAACCTTTTTTCGAGCCCTGTCTTCGTAAACGGGGTTCACTTAGCTTATAAGGCACTACCAACAGCTTTCAATTGCTCTAGTGAATATTCATTCTTCCAAAAGACACCTAAAAGAACTAAGTTACTAAACAAACACAACGTAAATAAGGGTCCTAACTAAGACGATCACGCCAAATTATTACAAACGGCCTATTATTGAACCTTTAGAAAGATCATTTAGAAAGATCAAAACATAATTTATTAATCCTGGTCACATATATATAATTTTAATATAAAGGGGAATATAATACATTTAGTATTTTATATATTTATTATTATGAGAGGAGGGGGGAAGCGTTACAATAGGTATATGTTCGTTTAAACTATTTGATATTATTTTAAGAAAAATATTATAGTTCTCATTTACAGTTTGGTTCTCTTTTAGAATATTATTCCAATCGACGTTATTTAATGAGTTTTTGAATGAATTAATGTTATGTTTTGTAAAATACCTTTTTCTTGTAAATAACACTTGCTTTTTGCTCATCGCCGTCTCTAAATTTAATTCTAGATTTGTTGCTTTATGGTCTGATAAACCATAATCAATAACATAGCAATTTTTTACTAAAGATATATAGTTTGTAAAGATTAGATCAATACAGGTGGCTGTTTTATTTGTGATTCGGGTGGGTTCTTTTATAAGTTGAGCTAAATTATGAGAACGCATTAAATTTAAGAGTTCCTGAGAATCACTATTGTTCTCGTTAACATTTATATTAAAATCAGCCCCAATAATGACATATTTATGACTATATTTTAGTTGTATTCTATTGAGTAGTTTATTTAATTGTTCATAAAAGATATTAATATTACGATCCGCTCTATATAAGCTGACTAAAACAATATTATACTTCGGTATTTCTATTGCACAAAATTCAATCGTAAATTCTACGGAAAAACTAACCAAGTCTATTTTTTCAATATAATCAATACAATCTTTCAGCATAATACAAACACCTCCACCACCGTGCTTTTTTCTACTAAATTTTGAAGCTACTTTATAATTTGGTATTACTATAGATTCACAAAAGTCCTCACTTCTCCATACTTCTGACAATAATAATATGTCTATGTTTGTATCAACTAATAAATGCTCAATTAAGTCTACTTTATTTCCTAAGCTCTGAACGTTTTGGAAAGTTAATTTAAAACTGTTAACGAAATGTCTTGTCAGGAATACTACTTTTGGTTATAGGCCCTGTTTCTTGTTTTGATGATAGGCAGTTACTTATCGGTAAGGTTTCTTCCTTTTATGAGACAATTTCAGAGGTTTTAAAATCATTGGCACTGTTTACTACAATTTTGCCACAATCCTCTTCTTGGTATTCTTCTATGTTCTTTATTAGATCAGCGACGTCTTTAAAGATGATCTGCATGCCGTAGTCATTTATCTGGCCTGTGCGCTTATGAAACATGGTATGGTTGTAATCGAGGTTCAAGTTGGAGTCAATTAAATATGAGTATTGATATGTCATATTGTCCAAATAAAGGAGGTTATTAAACAGTTCTATTCTCTTGTTGAATAGGTTTACAAATCTACCACATTTGAATGTCGGCAGACACAAGATAATATTTGTATGTGTTATTTGTAGTAATTTTTCTCGGATGTAGGTAATAAGCTCAAAATAATTAGTTGTGGCCTCAAAATCCTCTTTGCCAATGACTATTATGCAGTAGTCTCTTAAGGAGAAGTTCTGAAGTTTTTTTCTATGTCTAGTAGAAGTGGTCTTATGCCATGATCAGTTAGTAGATAGTGGCATATATCATAGTTGTTTTGTACATTATGTTGTAATATGTTTCGGGTCTTCATAAATCTGGACGTACTGAGTAGACAAATTTTGTTTGCAGCTTCCTTCACTACTTTGGGCTTGTTGTGCATATCAAGATCAGAGTTTGTAGGAATTTCGACACTAATCATTGTGGATAAGTTATTATTTAATGGGCTCTGGCTATTAATTTTTTGCGGTGAAAGAATTAAGTTACCACTATTTATCGACTTTTCGTTAGAATTTGATTTTAGCGATTTCGAAGTAATGATATCTGATTCAGATATCAGTTTATTTAACTTTAATTCACATTCACCTACTTTCTTCCATAAAGAACGGTTTTCAGTCGTCAGGTAATATATTTCGTTTTTTGCGCTCTTTAGTTTGCATTCTAGGTTTTCTATTTTTACTAATAATTCTTCAACTGTATATGTGTTTTTTTTTTAGTTTGTGGTTCTGATAGAATTTGAGTGTCTTTAGTAGGATTTGATGCCGTCGACAAGAACTTTTCGTCATTGTTTAGTTCCTCGAAAGAATTATCAGTGGGAATATTTACTCGGTTTTTATTGCGGCAGGTGACGTAGTCCTGATCCTGTGTCGAAGTATTTGTTCCTGGCGATGGTAGGGTATTATTAAGGGGCATAGACGCATCTAATATGGACGAATAGGATTGGGTAGAGCTATTTTGTAACGACACCTGTAATATTGCATTAGTGGTAGCTGGGGATTTTATTTTATTTAAGCATGGATCGCATCTATAAGCTTTTTTTGTTTCCGCTGTCATTATTCGGAAGCGTTGGAATGATACTTTAGTACAATCGATGTGGTAGTGCTTTTCACAAACTGAACACTTAAGAAATTGCTTATTTACTATGGATGTTTTGCACTTAATGCAATTTAACGCCATCTTTCCGTCAGTACCAGAAACAGTTAACATGCGTACTAGCAAAGCAATTACGCGGAGTGATGGTTATTATCGGTGCTGGGCGCTAGCTGGATGCAGGTGAAAATAGTTCATGCAATATACGATAGATGTGGTTGGCTATTTGCGATGTGAGTTTAAGCACTAGGGTCAAAGTCCGTTTTGGTGTTCAAAATTAAAATAACGGTTGAGAAAAACTAATTAGGTTCACTTGAAAGCATTTTAGGCACTAATATTTTACATAGTTCTGTTTTTACTGATAATTTTACCTTTTCCCACGGGTTTCGAATGTTTATACAGATGTAAGCAGTTTTTATCGACAAGAAAAAATATTACTTTTGTATCGGCTATAATGACGTTTTTGGCTCACTTCACTATAAGATAACACTTTTTCATGGGTATTGCACTTAAACTTCATTGAATGTACAGTTTTTATAATCAAACTTTATGATTTACTATTTTTAAAACGAAATTGATACGGAGCCTAATGTTTACGTGACACAACAACGCCCACCTCCTCCGTTTTCAACTTGCGTGCTCCCAACAACTACCGGCATAGGTGTGACATGGACATTAAACATAATCTTTGTTTTGTCCATGTTCATCTTAAGACCTATCCGTTGGGAGGCACTATTGAGGTCATTGAGCATAGTGCTTAAGTCCTCCAGCGATTCTGCCATAAGGACTATATCGTCGGCAAATGGAATCGCCATTGATGTTAATACCGTATCCTTTCCAGTCCAGTAGCTTGAAAACGTCTTCCAATGCAGCGGTGAAGAATTTCGGGGATATAACGTCACCCTGTCTTACACCTCTCTGCAGTTGGATAGGTTTCGAGCTCTGGTTCTGTACTCGGATAGCCATCGTAACCCTACTGTATAAACACTTCAGCACTTCGATATACCGACAATCAACTTGGCACCGCTGAAGGGACTGTAGCACCGCCCACGTCTATCTTTATGGGTCGCTAAATGTTATTTCCAAATGTTTTTAAATTTAATTGTACATATGTAAATTCCAAAATTCTTAATTAATTTATTTTGTTTTATTAGAAATTTTGTTATAATTTTCCCGCTGGATTTCTTGTCAGTTCTGGGATTCTCTCTCTTAAGTATAGTTGTGTATCTAAATTCCACATTATTTACTTTACATCAAAGGGACTGGAAGCTCGCTTGTTACCCCAATTTCTAGAAAAATTTAATCTTGGACTAAACATTCAATCCTACCGTTTACCAGTAGGTTATTATCCTATTATATCTCATATTCATTGCAAGGTGAACGTTGTCCCAAAACATAAAACATTGATACTAAAGTTAATACAGTTATATACGAAGGATGCTCATTTTAGTATTTACTTCAGAATAGACTTTGTATAAACATATTCCGCGCATAAGTTATGAGAAGATATTGTGATGTAGTTATCATTAATAAAGAACGTTTAAAAGACAAAAATTTTGCAATGTATCAATTTCATATTATTGTTACGGGCTTAGTTTGTTTATCTTTACCAGAAATAGGCCTCTGAGGTCACAGGCGTTCTGTGTGTCGCTTTCGAATGCTTACGAATGTAACTCCCGAAGAGGACGATTATTTGGAAGTGATGTTGAAATATTGTTGTCATAATGAGCTGTCGCTCTGCGACAGCAAAAAAGTACTGCCACCAGGATATGCTTCCAGTAAAGCGTAGCTAGAGAGGGGGCCGCGTAGCGTTTTTAACTGAGATCTCGGGAGACCTGGTAAAGACTGACGGTTATCACCGTGAGGTATATAGAAGTATAGCATAACCTTGTATGAGAAGAAGGTTGCCCTGAGAATTACTCCACGTTAGGAAAAACGTAGTTTAAATTTGATTGTAGTTAAATACTTTCCGAAAAATAAATTATAAGAAAAAAGAAAGAAACTAAGGATAAGGGTTTCAAAAATTTAACTTTATGCAATGATTATTGGCACAACTTCCAAAATTTAAGTAAACTCTAATGCTCACATACAATAATATCAGTAATATGTACTCAATACTCAAACGATAAATAATAGGGCACAACTCCAGCCCAGGGCGGCGGGAGGGGAGGGCTGAACTCGCACTGAATTTATGCGAGTCTTGCGCCCGAGATACGCCGCAATCTCCGATTAATAGTTTTCACAAAACATTAAACTGTAGCCGCGCTCGGTGAGGCGGCCCGGCGTCTTAATGCTTGTGGGTGCGGGAGTACCCGGCGTCCTCTCGATAATGCCCTCGCTTAGTACAATTTATGTATTTGAGAGAAAACACTGATATCCTCGTCTACTTTATTTTTCATATAAAACTCGTCTAGTATTACATATTCCGAAATGAAAGCCTGATGACGTTTTCAAAAGGTTAGTAAGTATTATATTTTTTATTATGGTTCCTAATAATTCCGTAATCATTACACTTAAAGCAGGTAATCAACCTGGTATTATTTCTATTAAAAATGTTTTTCAATAAAACTATTTATAGGGATTTTATCACGTTTAATTTATTAATTTTTTACTTACCGACGTTTCGAATACTCTCGGTACCCATTTTCACCTTCAGTTTTTGAATTTAAAAATAATAGTCCGATCTATGCAAAATGAGATTAGAGTATCTTGAAGTCTCACAGTGGTACGAGTATGCTAGGGCTTGGATTTAATTTTGTTAATTATAGGATTTCAAGGCAGGTGGCAGAACAGATGGCAGATTTTAACAGCGGTAAAGTCTACGCAGCAGCTTTGCTGTAGCACGTATGGACCGGCTCAAACCGCGGTGGTACCACGACCTCACAGAACACCGACGTGAAGTGGAAGCTCAGCTTCCACGTTTCGTCTGGTGAGTGCAAGTGGCCGGAGGCCCAATTCCATCCCCCCACCTCCCAATCAACATGCAGTTGCGCGTATTCTGGGGGGGTGGGCAAATTCCGCACAAGACAAGAACTGTGTGGGGCAAGTTGAGCAATAAGACCAAGGCTGTCACGCTTTCCGTGAATTTTTGCAATATCGGGGTACATCACCCTAACACACCTCGAGACGGCGAGGCCGGCTCTGCTCTTTCTGACCGAGACGCAGGTGTCCTCTCCGGCTGATGCTTCGTATCTCTCCTACCCGAAGTACAAACTGGGACACTCCTTTGTGCTTTGCGTATACGTCAGAGAGGACATCTGTTCTCTATACCTTGGCAGTCTTGAAGGTTCAGACATGTCTATTCTTTGGCTACGCGTAGACAGCGACGATCATCCGCGCATCTACGGTTGGCTCTATAGGTCCAATAGCGGTAATTCCAAAACAGGCCGACTCTTCGACCACGTCCAAATGGATACAGATTCGTTGCTACAGCAGATCCTCTCTGCAGAGATCGTGATCCTCGGTGATTTTAACGCAAGGAGATCTGTTCATGATTTTGCCTTGGCAGATGGTCTTTCACAACCGGTTACTTCGCCTACGCGGATTCTAGATGTGAAGGGTCATCCACCAAATAGTCATTGCCAAAGCAAAGTCAGTGCACATAGGCAGAATTGGCGAGAAACTAGTTCTCCTTCCTTCTGCAACCCGTGTATTCTGGTCTCTTGCCAAATTGTCCAGAGGAATTTCTGTCAGCCATCTCTCCCATCTCTGCACAGGGAGGACTACTCACTGGCCCATGCCGCAAAGGACAAATCCAATCTGTTAGGCTCTTTCTTTGCATCCAACTCGACTCTCGATGACGAGGGGAGTACGCCGCCTACCATCCCGCGGTTTAAGTTCTTCATGCCGGAGGTATGGTTCACACAGCGTTCGGTTCGCAAAATACTCCTCTCCCTGGACATCCGTAAGTCGAGTGGGCCTGATGGAATGTTCCAGAGTTGGCACCGGTTCTAATGCATTTTTTCCGGTACTCCTACTCCCTAGGCGTGATCCCAAAACCATGGAAGACGGCTTTTGTACACCCGATCCCTAAGAACGGCAACCGCTGAGACCCGTCCAACTACAGGCCTTATAGCTATCACCTCCATGTTCTCCAAAACAATGGAGTCCATTGTAAACTGCCAGCTCATGAGGTGCCTTATTGATACCAACTGATTAGTGATCACCAATGCGGTTTTCGTCGTGGTCGATCAGCTTGTGATCTTCTGGTCTACCTGAAACAGCGACCTCTCTGTGGAATAATTTACCACCGGCGATTTTTCCGGACCGATACGACCTGGGGACCTTCAAGAAAAGAGCTTAATCCTTTCTAAAGGGCCTGCAGTGCACCTG